TTGCTGAGCTTCGTGTGTCTTCTAAGATGAACAACTCTCTTATCTCTTGCATAGTGAAATAACGATAGGGATTTTTCTTGTCTCCTGTGCTTTGACGTATTAAGGAATCTTTGAAGACTTGTCTTCTATAGATCTTCTCTTCCACTGTCCCACAGGTAATCAACCGGTAGATTATGACATTCTCTTTTTGGCCGATCCTGTAAGCTCGGTCCACAGCTTGAGCATCTGTAGCTGGATTCCAGCTAGGATCAAAAATCACCACTCGGCTAGCAGCTGTCAAGGTTAAACCAATCCCACCAACCTGAGTAGTAAGCAAAAAGACAGAGTAGTCTCGATCTTTCTGAAACACGCCAATTCTCTTCTCTCGCTCTGTCAAATGGGTCACTGTCCCATCAATGCGCATAAGCTTAAAGTGCCTGTGAGTTAAGATGCGCTCTATAACATCCAACATTTTTCGTGACTGGGAAAACACCAGGGTTCTATGTCCCTCGTCTCTCAGTCTTTCCAGCAGCGCCACAAGGAAACCCAGCTTTCCAGACTCCTGAAGCAGCCTCTCGTCAGAAATATGCCCAATGTTTCTCTTCATGTCTGGAAGCTCACTAGGTTCATTTTCACCAACTTCCTTTTCACTATAACTGGATGCTTCCAGCCCAAGGTGACCGCATGCGCGAGGTGACAGGAGCCGTGGGTGATCACAGAGCTTCTTCAGGATATTCAGTTCAGCCAGGGGGGACCTTTTAGATATCAACAACTCCTTGATATGATCCAAAGTTAGAAAATTCCTATATATTTCCTCTTGTACAGGTGCTAAGAACACCCATACAATAAAGTCCTTTTTTTGAGGAAGAGAAGGCATAGTAGGAGCAACATCTTTACTTTGGTCTCCAGGAAGATGACTTGGAAGTTCAGACTTATTTTGCTTCTGTATCTCATCTTTAGTCCGTCTCAGAAAACATGGCTTAATAATGGACATCAGGTTTTCTGAGATTTTAAGTCCCAGAGCTTTCTCTCCAGGACTGGCGTCTTTCGCCCTAGCTTTTGTGATAGGATTCTCATATTCCATCTGGAAGGTTTTGACTGTACCTAAAAGTGAACCTTGACAAGCAAAGTCAAAGAGAGCCCACAGTTCCTTGAGATTGTTTTGGACTGGCGTCCCCGTGAGAAGGATGCGGTTTCTGGAAGGAATGGCATAAACAGATTTTGTCGTTTTGGCAGATGAGGTTTTAATTTTATGCGCTTCATCAAGAATGACATAGTCCCAAACAAACTCTTTCCCACTAAAGCTAGAAAGCTGCTTCCAGCTGTTGAGGAGTATCTTGTAGGTTGTGAGCAAGGTGCCCTTTCTCCTCTGGATTTGCTCCAGATGTTTTTCACGTTCAGCTTTGCTGGTCCCGTGAAAGACTTTCACTCGCAGGCCTGGAGTCCACTTCGCAAACTCTTTCATCCAGTTATTCAGAAGGCTGGTTGGGACAATGAGCAACACGGAACGGATGAGTTCTGCATCAAACATACCTGAGAGGAACGCAATGATCTGAATAGTCTTCCCAAGTCCCATGTCATCTGCCAAGATGCCACCCTTCCTTCTGTCTTGATATAACTTGTACAAGAAAGCAACCCCTTCTCTCTGATGATGAAAAAGCTTGTCGTGCATTTCTCCATACAGCATCAGTCCACTCTGACACACATCCACAAAGCTATCGTCATTCTGGTCCACAGCCAGAGCAGCCAGGGCTTCCTCTAACTTTTTAATATTCGCTGTCAGCTTTTCACTGAAATGGATTTCAAGAGCCTGTTGGAACAATTGGATAGATTCTTCTAAATTCCCACTTCTGGCCTCCTGTTTTGCTTGGGATACATATCTGTAAAATCAAAAGGCAGTTCTGAAGTCAGAAACAAAAACAGCTCAAGGTCAGAGAGACT